GAATGTGATCATATTGAGATGCAAATGATAGTAGATCCAATGCATTCAGTAGATATTAGATTAAGTAAGTGTGTGCGCATTTGGTTAAAAAATGGCAATGTCAGTACTGTAGTTCATGGTAGTCTTCAAAACTGGTATAAAATCTTGGGGCACAAGCAGAGCATATCTTGTTCTAGTGTATTTGGAGAACTCAGAACTCTCTATGTCATGTCAGAATTCCCTTTCTCCACCACCTTTTATAGGTTAGTGATCACAAGAGGTGATCACTGAACCTACAAAACTTCACTAGTGCTGGATCTTTCAGTGCCCTGGTACCCCAGCCATTTGCCTAAATCTAGTAGAGCACAGACTCCTGCTTTAGTGTTGCCTTTGGAGGGATTCACAAAAGACTGTTTCTTGAGCTCTGTGAGCTTCTGAGCCAATTCCACATGACTAACGTTATGCCCATATCCACAGTTGCCCCACTATGATCTACTTTCAAGGCCATCGAAATTAATCTCTCATCACCTTTTACCTCAGAAACCCCAAGAGGCCAAATGTTCCCAGGTCATTCCTCACTATGAGGCTCTTTTCCTCCAAACAGATCTGCACATGTCTCATTTCCTCTTAGAATTCTCTTCCTTTACACTGTCTAAAGTAGTGATTACTCTTCTTCAACATTTATGCCTTGGGATATGGGTATTATACATGTGTTCCTATTTTTCCTCACTGTGGCATCAGGACTTAATTCCATCTTCCTCCTTAAACATCTCAATTATTTAAAAATTATGCTCTCAAACCCTGCTATACTTACATACTTCTTGCAGCCAAAGGCAACATTCTTCCTAATTCAAAGTCTTTAACATTTACCATCTCACTTAATGTATCTTTCTCTAATACAATCATAATCTCACTTATTTCTTTCCCCCAGTTTTATGGAGGTAAAATTAGCAAATAAAATTGCATAAATTTAAAATGTAGGGCTGGGGATGTAACTCAGTAGTAAAATGTTTGCTTAGCATGTGTAAGCCCCTGAGTTCAAACCCCTATAATAAAATAAAATAAAACAGACATACAACACAATGATTTGAGAAATATGTGTGTATATATATGTAATAATACACAATCATTATATAATAATCACAATCACATTAGTTATTATATGTATCATCTAACATAATTAAAACTTTTGTGTGTGATTAAGAACACTTAGGAAACTATTATTTCCAATCACCAATTGCAAAGATTAATTTTCACTTTCCTTGGACTACATGTACTCACATACTTTGAGATAGTCTAGCATTATTTTAGTAATTTTAAAATATTTCACAGCTTTTTTATTTTTTTCACTTTTGTAGCCAGAATGGAAAGATGGCAGAAACTAGAAGGAGGAATTTTCTAATTCCTTTTTTCCCATTTCTCTGTGAAGTGCTGGTACAGGAAATGACTGAAAGTTTCTACATCATAATATTCAGTAGGAATGACCTTATTAAACAGCCAATTTTGAAGTAAGTGTGGGCCTGTCTTCTGGTCACAAGCTTGTGTGGTTTAAGGGCAGCCTTCTCATACATATCAAAATACAATTTTACTAAGATGAATGGCTACCTCTTCGAAGATGTATCTAGGATTCTGCTTCTCAGAGGCCAGCAGACACGTAAACATGCAACACATCATAGAATTTAAGAATATCTGTTCCATTTGTTCACCCCTTCCATGACAGTGATTTCTCCTTCACCCCTTAGCATAATCCTCTCTAGAGTTTTATATCTTGAAATACCTTATCATAATTGCTTATCTTTGATTTAGGTACTATATAGTCTTTTTCATTCCCCTCTATTTGTACTGTATTTCAGGATGCTGACCAGTGGTTGTGATGAGACACTACTAAATGGAGCAGCAGCAAAATGTTGGAAAATCCAAGTGTTTATTCCCTTCACTTCCTCACAGCCAGACTGTAGCTTAGACATAACTGTGAGCATTTCTATGAGTTCACAGTTCATGTAAAATATTGTATTCAAGATACAGATATAATTCTTTCTTTGGTTCCTAGTAATTGTACTCTTAGCTTGCCCCTTTGGCATAGGAAAGGATAATAGCTCCAGATTATTTATGAGAACAGGATGATTAAACATTTGCTACTGGTTTCTGTTAGTCCTTCCCATAATCGTTAGTCATTTTAAAAAATTCAGCCCTCCTATGCTGCTATATTTGAGAGAACTATCTGGCAGAATCAGAGCTGATTTACTTTGTGTATTAGGAAAATTGTTTTACATGTTTGTTTCCTTTTTTTGTAATAGTCATTACAACTATAACTCACAAACTTCATTTTATTTTTAACCTATCATTCAAAGTACTGATAGCACTAACCAAGACACACTTCCTTGTTTCTTTGGAAATCACTAAATTTGTGTTCCTCTGGTCTGATGTCTGTACAACCTCAGTTGCTCCTGTTCCTTTTCTATAAGATTCTCCTGTGTACCAGCTACACCCAGCAATGCCATTTTTGATGTTGTGGGTTTTTTCCCCACTCTTACTGCTCATAATAATAAAATTGTATGTGAAGCATCCATAGATCCCCTGAGCTTTCAGTCATTTAAGTGGTAAGAGAATTACTGGTTTGCACTCACAAGTGGAAATTAACTCTTTTCTGACAGTGATGCTTTTTGTTACTAGGGCCAATATTGTCTCAAACTGGTGTTACAATATCTTTCTGAAGGAGGTAATCTAGGGTAAAATGCTTAAGCAGATATTCTGTATGATGCTGCTAGAGTTTATATTGACCAGCAATTCTTAAGGGTGGAATCTACAGCAGCACTGGCATTCCTTGAGAGTTTGGTAGAAGTGCACCTTTACAATCCCTACTCCAGACTTTCTAAATTAGAAAACTTAGGAATAAGAACAAAAATTTGTGTTCTAAACAGTCATTCAGGAAGTTCTAATTCAGTTAAAAGTTTAATCACTGATCTATAAAAGCATAGCTTCTAAACTAGCAATATACAGATATATTCTTATTGTAAAATCATTTAAGTCAATAGTTTTGATTTTTTTTGCTGATGTTTTTCACTGATTTTGTTCATCTACTATGAAAAAAGAAAATATATTTTAAGACTAATTTTGTTATCATTTCATTTTCATGCTTTTTAAATTTATATTAATTCCTTTGCTTCACCCAAGTCAGTGTAACAAGAGTTAACAGAGTTTGTCATTGATAAATTGGGGGAAAGAAGGTTAGGAGTTGAAAATTCTGCATTTGTGTCCAAAATTTTTATCACATTCTTATTGATTTCTGAGGCTTTACTTTTCATTTATAATTCAAAATAGAATGTTGCTTCTGCCTTGTTGGACCAATTTTGTTCTTACTTTTCTGTTACTTTCCATATTGTGCTTCTTCTCTTAATCAAGAGAAGAAGGAAGGGACAGTGTTTTAAATTGAGTTGGCATGGCCATATATACTTCAAATTCTTTTTTTATTATTATTAGTTGCTTGTTACAACACAATGATCTTGACATATCATACATTTGAGTCAAATGGGGTATAATTTCTCATTTTTCCAAGTGCAGAATCACATTGGTTATACAGCCACGTATATACATACAGCAATACTAGTGTCTATTTTAATAGTATGGACAATTTCAGAATACAGAGAGTAACTCATGTGATCCTTATGAGTAAGTTTTCAAACCTAACCTACTTACTTGAGGTATTTTTTCTTTCAGTTTTGTAAAATCAAATTTGAATTTCTATAACACCCATATTAACTAAAACTCATTAGCAAAAGATTTCAGATCAAATTACATTATTTAAAAATTAAATCCATTAATTAACAGAACAATAAACTGAGAGATGACAACCATGCTTCTTGTTATCTAATTTATCTCTTGATTATTTATTTTAAAACAAAACTGCATTCTAAGCTGCCAGGATAATGTAATAAGGGTTTAAAATAAACCCTTTATTGTAAAATAATAAAACCAATAATTATAGATGAATGTATATTTACCTATATTAGCATAGTGGTGGCTATATTTTTTAAAGCTGATCATTTTCCTAAGTAGATTCACAAATACGCCAGCACTATTAGGCAAAGAACCAAAAATAGTAAATTAAAAGCCACTATTTTTTAAATAATACTAATTGCGTTTATTGGTATGTTGATAAAACACCAATACATGCACAAATTTGTTCAATGGATTAGACCATCCAAGATCTAATGATGTCGTTTCTTTTCTTCACATTTTTTGAAAAGCCACTTTTCAACAACTTATTAATTTTTTTTAGAAATTTTGAATTTCTGCTGCTTTAAAATTCATGAATGTACTATGCAATATATATCTATGATGCTTCTTTTGGTGTATTTAAGGCTACATTATACCCCAGATTTTAATTTTCTAATTTTATAAATACTCTAAAATTGTGAGGCTATTTACTGTTCTTTAATAAAGTCCAACAGAACTTTCTTTAAGCAGCAAGATAAAACTTAATCAAGTGTGAACAGTACAAATTGTATTTTTAATGGTGTGAGAAAATACCTATAAAGCTGTTTCAAGTGAACTAAAATTATATGCCAGGATATCATTTACAAATGTGTAATTTTTGGCAAAAAAGTAAGTACTACCACCTAAAAGTCTGACTAGACCCTAACTAACAACAATTAGCTGAGGTTTGTGAATTAGAGGAAGAGATGGTTACCCTTTCAAATTTTAACACTATATGTGTAAATATAAAATAATATGGTAGGGATTCACATTTCTTCTGCAAATATTTTCATTTACCTTAAAACTTCCATTATAAAATATAATATTTATATTATAACTTCTTGCCCAAATCATTTTTGAGAATTCCATAAAAACTTATTTAAAATTAACACCAAAATTAGTAGAGAATATGCAAATATTTTTATTCTAACATTAAATGAGTACAAGATATTAATCAAAAGTAAAATCAGAAACTTCTGTTATTTTGTCCAAATGACTTAATATTCTTAAATATTGTATTAAAACAAGCAGAAAAGGAGTTATACCTGTGTTGGTAGTCTTCTTCACATTTAATACATGCAACATTACCCTTCCAGGAAAATGAATTATGTGATGTTTCATTTATCTTGCATAACTTTCCTGAATGTATTAATGAAGAGATGCACACAAAATCCTAGGAATTAAATTAAAGATTAAACATATTTTTACAAAGGTTTTGGATATTTGAAAGATAATGAATGATTTCTTGCCTGGAAAGAGAAGGAAATTGTTAAAAAATGTGGAAGTTGTTTTGTGTGCAGTAACATGGAATGTTCTATTTTCTAACATGTCACATATATCCCCAATCACAAACTTTTTCTCCTAGGTGAAACCAACAATCTGCTGTTGGAGACTATGCACTTCTGCATTGAACACAAGGCTGTGACTATTGAAAAGTGGTGTTATGTGACTAAGCAAGGCCAGACATAAAGGTCCTGCAGTTCCATGTATTTGGGAATGTTCATTGGAATCCAATCATCATGTTCTAAGGAACCCCAGGTCACATGAAGAAGTCTTCCTCAGGATTAAGGCTGTTAGCCCCAGCTAAAGACCCAGCTGATAGCTAATATAAGCCACCAAACAGGTGAAAAAGCAATCTTTCGAGATAAACTGCAGTCCCAGATACTTTTTGACTGTAACTTCATGAGAAACTAGGACCAAGAAAGAACCTCTTAGCTGAGACATTTTAATTCATAGAACTATAGAGATAATAATGATATAATTGTCTTAAGCCATTTAAATTTGATGTGATTATACTTAGAAAATAGAAGATCGTAATGTTATAAATCTATACATTTGTTGTTAGGTAAAGACAAAAGTAAAACTAAATTTGATGAACTTATCTGTTATTGCCCCTGTAGTCTATAGGCACTATTCATAACTTTTTGTCCTCCTCTTGTCCTCTTTTCTTTCCCTCTTTTTTCTCCTTTATCATCATCATTTTCAAACTTATAATAGTATTTAAGTAATTCTAAGATAAAATGCCTATGAACTTGAATTAGATGATTGTGTTTCTTCTTTGTGGAATCCAATTAAATAATACTCATAAAAAAAAAAAAAAAAAACTAGCTGGGAGCAATGGCGCATGCCTGTAATCTCAGCAGCTTGGGAGGCTGAGGCAGGAGGATTGTGAGTTCAAAGCCAGCCTCGGCAAAAGTGAGGGACTAAGCAACTCAGTGAGACCCTGTCTCTAAATAAAATACAAAATACAGCTAGGGATGTGGTGGTTGAGTGTTCCCGAGTTTAATCCCTGGTACCACTTCCCATAAAGAAAAACACCTAAATATGAAACATACAGAGTTTGCCTAAGGTTATTGCATGGTGATGGTGGAAATGATAAAGTGTCTTCAAAATTATTTATAATAAAAAATGTTCTTTCAAACATAATAATGAATAACACAAAAACAAGTAAGAGTTTAAGTACTTTTATGAATTAATAGTTAAGCAAACATCCTTTGAGGATCACTTCTTAAGATACTCATAACTAGTAAAGTTAGACTGTGTTTAATTGTTCTTATTCTCAAATTTAGAATAAAATTTTTCAAGTGATCCTACTAATAAATTTTCATAGTTTACTACACTATTTTTCATTCATATAACAAATTTTTATGTGTCGAAAACTTTTTTACAAGATTAGTAACTTAAAGAAATAAAATTTATTATCCTATAGTTTCAGAGGTCATAAATCTGAACAGAATGTCACTGTGCTAAAATCAAGATGCCAGGTTTGTTCCTTCTGGAACTTTCAGGAGATAATATTTTCCTGACTTTCCTGGTTTCTAGAAGCTGACCTCAGTTTTCATTTATGATCCCTTCTTTCGACTCCAAAACCAGAATTGCAGCATCTTCAAACCTCTCCCTGACTGTAATACTTTTTCTCCCTCTTCCTCTTTAAAGGACTGGTAATTACATCAGTCCTGTTTAGATAATCTGTGATGTAATCAGCTGATCAGCAGTCTTGATTCTATTTGCTACCTTAGTTTCCCCTTCTTATGTAACATAGAGTTGATACATATTGCTGAGATTAGGACATAGACATGTTTTGGGGAGGCGGAGTGGAGGACCTAATTTCCCCTTACAAGTATAATGGTCTTGATTGTTACAAGCATGTCTTAGTGTTCTTTCCACTAAAATCTCTTAATGTTGATGTTTCCTTTAACATAGGTTAATGACAACTGGTTAGCTGTTTTTCAAAAAATTATAGGTGAATTACAAAATGATACTATAGTAGGCCTTTATATTATATGTTTTGTATAATTAAACTAAAATTTCTCAGTAATGGCTTGACCAAAATATTGTTAATAGAATGGGCATTGTTCCAAGAAGAAAGTTCCATTTAAACACTGTTGGTGATTAAGAGTTGTGAAATTCGAAAAATAAACTCCAAGAGATTTTTAAGAGTTAGTGGCAAATATGATTAGTAGTAAAACGGAGTGGTCTGTGAGAATGGTTAACAAACCATTTGTCTACTTAATTTAAATATTCAATTAATAAGGTGTGAAAATATCATGTAATCAAAAGAGAAGAAAAAATTAAAAGAAATAACGAAAACTAGAAAGTATGTAAAATTACATTGTTTCTGAGGAAGAATACAGGTGGAAGAGCACAAAATGAGACTGAGCAGTGTTTTAAAATTGGGGTTTCTATATAAATGGGAAAAAGGAAAGTGAACAAGTAGATTTTCTGACTTTCCTATGTTTTAAAATTATAATTTAATGAAAATTTTATATGCAATTTTCATATGTAATTTGAGTAGTGAATTTCATTTAAACTGCTCTCTCATTCCCTACATTCAGACTTACATTTGGTTTATTGACACAGTCAGTGCCAATCTGACATGCTGCTTCAGAACATTCATTGACATCAGTTTCGCAGTTTTGACTGAGAAGTTCTTTTGGGCATTCACAGATGTAAGCAGAGCAGCATTTTTGCCAATTTTTTTCTTCCCAATGAGAATAAGGATTAGGAGGTTTCATGAGCTCCTCACAGAATGGGCCTTGAAAAATCACATATAGAAACAGAGACATACACAGAGAGGGATTGGGAGCAGAAAGGGAAAAAGAAAAAGAGAAAATATGAAGAGAAAGTCATTATAGAAAAAGAAAGTGAAAGTCATTATAGAAAACAGTCTAAAATGCATGGATTCTTTTTTGGTACAGAATTGTATGTGTTTTTATTTTTGTAATTTTTAATGATTTTTTTAAATTTAATTAGTTATACATGACAGTAGAATGCATTCATATACGATTATTTTAAAGAGAGAGAGAGAGAATTTTTTAATATTTATTTTTCAGGTTTGGTGGACACAACATCTTTATTTTATTTTTATGTGGTGCCGAGGATCGAACCCAGCACCCTGCGCATGCCAGGCGAGCCCGTTACTGCTTGAGCCACATCCCCAGCCCTCATGCACTATTTTAATATTTATTTTTTAGTTATAGGTGGACACAATGTCTTCATTTTATTTTATGTGATGCTGAGGATCAAACCCAGTGCCTCACACATGCTAGGTGAGCGCTATACCTCTGAGCCACAACCACATCCCCATTTATGTACTTTGATACAGCATACATAGATGTGATATAATTTCTCATTTTTCTGAGGGTACATGTTGCAGAATCATATTGGTCATGTAGACACATATATAGAGAGAGTAATAATGTCTGTTCCATTCTACTATATTTCCCATCCCCACATCCCCTCTCTTCCCCTCTGATCACTTCCCTCTACCTAATCTAAGGTAATGCTATTCTTTATTAGTGCCCCCTGCCTTATTGTGAAATAACATTTGCATTTTGTGGGATTGGCCTATTTTGCTTAGCATGATATTCTCCAGCTCCAACCATTTACTGGCAAATGCCATAATTTCACTCTTCTTTAAAGCTGAGTAATATTCCATTGAGTATATATACTACATTTTCTTTATCCATTCAGTGATTGAGGGGCATCTAGGTTGGTTCCATAGTCTAGCCATTATGAATTGTGATGTGGCTGTGTCACTATAGGCCTTGAGTCACTATAGACCTTGAAAAATCACATACAGAGACAGAGACATACACACAGAGGGATTGGGAGCAGAGAGAGAAAAAGAGAATTTTAAGTCCTTTGGGTATAAACCAAGGAGTGGGACAGCTGGGTCAAATGGTTGTTCCATTCACAATTTTCTGAGGAATCTCCCTACTGCTTTCCATAGTGGTTGCCCCAATTTGCAGTCCCACCAGCAATGTATGAGTGTACCCTTTTCACCACATCTTCACCAACATTTATTATTGCCTGTATTCTTGATGATTGCCATTCTGATAGGAGTGACAGGACATCTTAGAGTAGTTTTGATTTGCATTTACCTAATTGCTAGAGATGTTGAAACACTTTTTCGTATAATTGTTGATCAGTTGTTGTTTGACAGAATGCAGGGTATTTTTTTTTTACGTATTTATTAAGGGTTGATTTGGGGCATATGAGATGGTCTATTTTAGAGAAGGAGCCATGTGCTGCTGAGAAGAAAGAATATTTGCTCATTGTTGGATGAAATATTCTATATATGTCTGTTAAGTTTAAGTTATTGATTGTATTATTCAGTTATATAATTTTCTTCTCTAGTTTTTGTTTGGAAGATCTGTCCATTAGTGAGAGAGGTGTGTTAAAGTCACCCAGTATTATTGTTTTCTGGTCTATTTCACTTCTAAAATTGAGAAGTGTTTGTTTGATGTATATAGATGCTACTCTTTAGGGCATAAATATTTATAAGTGTTATGTCTTACTCATGTATACTTCCCTTAGGAAGTATAAAATGTCCTTCTTTGTCTCCTCTAATTAACTTTGGTTTGAAGTCTACTGTATCTGAAATGAGAATGGAAACCCTGCTTGTTTACGCAATCCATACGAGTAATAAGTTTTTTCCCATCCTTTCACCTTCAGCCTGTGGTTGTCTTTGTCCATGTGATGAGTCTCTTGAAGACAGGTTATTGTTGGTTCTTGCTTTTTAATACAATCTGCCAGTATATGTCTTTTGATTCATGAGTTTAGGCTATTAACATGCAAGGTTATTATTGAGATATTATTTGTATTCCCTGTAATTTTGATTTATTTCTGCTTTTTGATTTGTCTTAGTTTCTCATTTAGTTGAAAGTCCCTTTAGTGTAGGTCCTCCCTTTGCTGGTTTTCACTTTTTTTTTCCACTTCATCCTCCCGGAATATTTTTTTGAGAATGATCTGTAGTGTAGGCTTTCTAGTTGTGAATTCTTATAATCTTTGTTTATCATGGCTTGTGTTAATTTAATCTGCAAATCTGAAACTTAATTTTTCTTTATATAAAATTTTTGATTGGCATCCATTTTTTTTCAGAGCTTGAAATATATTATTCAAGGACCTCCTAGCTTTGAGGGTCTGGGTTGAGAAATCAGTTGAGATCTGAATTGGTTTCCCCCTATAGGTAATTTGATTTTTTTTTTCTCACAGCCTTTAAGATTTTATCTTTATTCTGTGTTAGTCATTCTCATTATAATGTGTCTTGGTGTGGGTCTTCTGTAATTTTGTATATTTGGGGTCCTATAAGCCCCTTGTATTTGATTTTCATTCCATTTTTTAGGTTTGGGAAATTTTCTGCTGTTATATCATTGAAAATATTGTGCATTCCTTTGGTTTATATCTCTGCTCCTTCATCTATTCCAATAACTCTTAAATTTGGTCTTTTCATGTTATCCTATAATTCTTGGATATTCTGTTCATGGTTTCTTAACATTGTCTCTGCAGGTTCAACTCTACTTTCAAGATTACATATTTTGTCTTCATTGTTTGAGGTTCTGTCTTCCAAATAATATAGTCTATTGGAGGTGTTTTCTATTGAATTTATAATTTAGTTTACTGATTCCTTCATTTTAAGGATCTCTCCTTTTTTATTTTTCATGATCTCTAACTTTTATTGAAGTGGTCTGTATTTTTTCTTTGATTTCACTCCTTATACTATACTTTACTTCACATGTCAATTTAACTATATACAATCTGAACTCTTTCTTGAACATTTCTTTTATTGTGTTATAAGTAGCTTCTGTAGTTGAAGCATCTTGGTTTATTTGGAGTGCTTTATTCCCTTGTTCTTTCATGTTATTAGAGTGTTTTCCCACCTAAATGTATAGATATAAGGTAGAATAAATTCTACCTTGTAGAACTGTAGTGTCTCTGAGGTTTCCAGTGCTTCACCTTTACTTATGAGATGAATATCAACAGCACTCAGTGTACATAATATATAGCCTTAAACCTAATAGCTTCCACTAAGGCGTCTAACTGCTTTCTCATATTAAACCAAAATAATGGGTTCAATAACCATCTACAGTACAACAGAATAGTTGTTAAAACAATTTAAAGTTTCAAATGGTAGATTAGAGAACAGCAGTAGTGTAGTATGGAATATTTGAAAGGGACTAAGAGAGAAGCTAGAGTAGAAATTCACAGGAAGAATAGAAGAGAAACCTACAGAGATTAACTGTTGGTTGGAAAAAAGTTGGAAAGAAAATAGACAAGAGAGGAAGAATATGAACAAAAAGAAAAAAAATTGAAGACATAAGAATACAAAAAAATGCAAAACACCATTCATATATCATTGTTCTCCACACATTGATGCATAAAAGACATCCTGTCTTTTTGGAAATATGATATTTGAAAATATGATAGAGATTAGTGAATCGAAAAGTAAAATAAATCTTTCAGGAAAGTCAAACTGATTCTGTCATGTTCAACAGTTTGTCAGCCCTCTCTCTGACATCTCTCGGGATCACCAAACCTAGATTTGTCCTCTCAAACCCAGTCTCTTATCTCACCAATTTAGGCTTCAGACACCTCAGGCTCAGTGACACTGTAATTCCAAGATTTCAATGCTGCTCCTACTTGCAGAGAGACCACCAGGATACACTCATGCAAATGACCAAACCGAGATGCAGCAGCAAGACAAGGGCCACCAGCTCCCCCAAACCTGCAGGTACCCCCACACTGGATCTGCAAGTCTCAGCTAGAGTCCCCAGACACAGGCTCTTATGGTGGTAAACCTGCTGGCACCCAGGAACCAGTTTCTGGCTGGTGTCCCAAAATGGGTGCAGCCACATGCAACCAAACCTGAAGTCTTCCCTGAAAGAAGTCCTCTAGGCCATGGTAGCAGGGGTAGTAGCTGTGGTTGTTGGCAGCAGGCAGTGTGTCAGTAGTAGCCATGGCAGCTGTGGGGCAGTGTCACCAAGTGATCTCCAAGGGTCAGCTGCAGTGTTGGCTTCAGTTGCATCCAGGGCAGTAGTGTCTCCTGTGGCAGTAGTACCCAGAAACAAGACATCCAGGTGATCTCAGGCTGGCAGCAGTGGAATCAGAGGCGGCACCAATGGTGATAGAGGTACAGGCAGCATTTGATTGACAGATGACTTCAGCAGCAACCATAGAGGCAGCCTTGGAATTCAGAATTCATGTCAGAGGTAACCCAGGCTGTGCCCAGAGAAGAGACCTCCAGGTGATCTCAGGCTGGCACAAGCAGAATCAGAGGCTGCAGCAATTATGAATGGATTCCTTAAACAGGCTTATTGTAGTATTACTTCCATATCAAGGAATTTTCATACTGAAAATTATAACCCAATAACTTTGGCAAATATATAGATTATTTTATGTTTTTTAAATTATTTTGCTAATTTAATAAAATGTATATATCTAATGATAAATGCATATTACTAGAAGCCAATTTTAGCACATTTCCATTGGTGAGAGAGCACTTTATTTATTATTGAATACATGTTTTGAATAGGTTCTTTGTATATTCCAGATGTTAGTTATTTATGATATATGTCACCTGAAAAAACTGTCTCCCTGGTTTCCCTATTCATTTTCAACTTGGTGACTTTTGGATAACAAAAATTTTGATTTGATTAGGTCTAATGTATCAATTGTATTCTTTATTTAAGACCAATTGGTACTATTTTCTTTTACATGATTTAGTGTAATATCTGATAACTCTTTGCTTAATTTATAGTCAGAAAAATATTGTCATGGTTTTTTAGATGTCTTATAATTTTAGCTGTTATACTTAGGTCTCTGATCCATTTAAATAAGTATGAGATAGTAATTTGTTATTATATTTTCTAAAATACAAATATTCAATGGTTCCAGACAAGTTTTTAAGTCTACCCCTTTCTTATTTTATTTAAAATTGACAGGCCTTTATTATAGAGCTGATTTCTGCTCTGTAAAGTTTGTCACGTTGATCTCTGTACCTTTCTATATGGAATTTCACAGAGCTCAGATAAATATAGACATAAAGTCTTGAAATGGAGCAATCAACTCACTTTTTCTCTTTTTTCCCCATAACCGTTTTGACTGGTGCATAGATTCTTTGTATTTCCAAATATTTTTAACATAAATTTCATTGTGTATATTCATGATCTACAACATGATTTCATATATATATATCTTTGTATACACATATAGATATAGAAATTAATATAGAGAGATAGAAAAAATGACTACTATAGTGAAATCAATTAACAAAAGCACAATCTCACATATTTACCTATTTTTCCCTCTGTGGCAGAAAAAACTACAATCTATGCATTTATCAAAAACTCTAAACATAAAATATTATTTTAAGTGAGGCCCTCATCTTGTAGGACTTTAGATATTTAACATATAAACATTTAGTATACAGTTATCTGTAATCGTGTAAAACTGGAGCAAATAAAATGTCTTGTAAGTGAATAGTTAAACTATGGTACTTTGATACCATAGAATACCATACATCAGTTACACACACACACACACACACACACAAACTTAGACATCTATTGAAGACATAGTATTAAGAGAAAAAAGTTGATTTCAACAAATTGAGATATTGCATAATATATTCACATAACTAAACTATAATAAAGGATAAAATTAAGAGTTGTCATTGGCTAGGGATGTTAGTGGAAGTTAGGATAGATAAAAATGTAAATGGGTAGCATGAGAGAGAATTTTTTTTCTTTTGATATGAGATATTGAACCCCAAGGCACACTATACAAATGTCAATTTCATAGTTCAGATGTTTTATTATAGTTATATAAGATGTTGTTCCAAAACAAAATGCTAAAAAAGGCATTTCATTATTTATTATTTTACCCTAAGGATTACTTTGGAAATTGCTACAACAAATATCTCCAAAGAGTAAACAAACATTTCATGAACTTTGTAAAAGAAGACAAATCAATGTGTGTGAGAGTGTACATATGTGTGTGTTTGTGTGTGTCTTAATACTTTACATATAATATTGGACAACAAAATGTTGTATTGTAGAGTAGAAATAGTAACTAATACTAAAAATTAAGTCTTCTAACTTTTTTATAGGACTAATCTAGTGGGTATTGTGTGTGGTGAAAAGAGCTTGGAGTTTATATAGTATTAGATGGTGTGCACAAATTTGTTTCATTAATTTGCCATTAAAAAGCCAGTCATTGCTAGCTGAGCTACTTAAGCTGAGGCTAACTTTTTAGTTAAAAGAAAATTAAAATATAAAAGTGAATAATAATTTTTTTAAATAAATCCTAGGTTTGTTTTAAGAAATTTATCAAAGAAATATTGTTGCAGTTACTTTGAAAATGGCAAACATTAAATGCTTATAGTGTAGTATCTTTTAAAAAATTTACCATGATTTTAATATTTGTGTTACTTAATACAATTAATATAATTAACAGCTATTCTCTGTTTAGTTAATAAGAAACTTGTTAATGTATCAACACATTGATAAATATACATTTAATCCCTTTTTGTGTGACCAAAATAAATATTTATACACTAATTTCTTAAAATTAAAAGTTGAGTCACTTTAACATACTAATTCCAGTGGTGGTATCACTTAAAATTTTATATCATCTTTGTGATTTTATACTTCAGAATTTAACATACCATTCAAAGTCCAAATGAATTAACATTATTATCTAAGTGATATCTTTTGGCTTGCATGGAGTAGCTCAGTTACTTAATCCTTCATAGCTAAATATTTCATGGTGTTCCTATTCACAGGATAATGAATTAGTTTGATATAATCAAATTAGATTTTTAAAAATTATATACTAGCTGTTCTTGGGTAGTGCCATGAATTGGCTGGCAAGGTTTATAAAATTGAATTATAAATGCTTTTCTTTAATTCCTAGAAACAACTATGCCACCTTAGCAGGGAGTCAGATAGTTCCACATTCAGCTCTCTCTGAAATATATGAATTGTCCAAAGTCTTATTCAGACTAAGAGGCTTAATAGAGTGAAATTTGCTCTTGGAACCTAGCTATTCACAGATACACAAGGCTTACCAGCCACCACGGTAGCTGCTCTTATTTTCACTATGGTGTACCTCAGGACAATTTGTGGAACATCATCAAACATGCTTTTCAACTCTGCAATTAGATACCTGTTGATCCAGGTCCTATAAAAACTGCAGTGAGGACCCCAGTCTTAGGCTTCAATTTTTTTATTAATTCTTTTCAGATGATCTTAGGCTGAGAACTAATTGGGAAAAAAATAACATTCCTAGGTTGTAAAACTTAAAGAGGCAACTACTCACCCACTGCTTCAAGTGCCAGCCCCCAACTTTCCCAGGTCTATTGATAGACAATATATCAACACACAGGCATGGCTAGAAAACGAGTTTCAATACATCTAAAGAAATTAAAACCTTATCATACATGCTCTTCAACTCTCTTAGGGTTAAATTAAACAGAAACAGTAGAAAGCTTTGAAGAATCCAGACATATTTAAAAATTAAAATACAACAACAAAAAAATTCTAAACCTGAGCATCAAAGAAAAAAAATGTGTATTTGAATTTTTACTTTTTTTTTTTTTTTTTTTGCTATTACAGATTGCTATGGATTAAATGTTTGTGCTGTCTTCATTCTTAGCTTGACAACTCATTTTCAATGGGATGGTATTTGGGTTAGTGTTGAGAGTAATTAGATCATGAGAGTGGAGCAGTCTTGTATAGGATTAATGCCCCTACAAGAAGAGATCAGGATGCTCCCCTTCTCTGGTCTACCCTGTGAGGACAGAATAAATGGATATCCATCTGCCTACCATATAGGGACTCAGCAGACAACATATATTTATCAGCACCTTGATTTTGGATTTTGAAGCTTCCAGAAGGATGAGAAACAAATGTTACTTAAACAGCTCAATTTGCATTAATTTGTTATAGCAATCCAAAGTGCCTAAGAAACTAATAATGCTACCATAAATATAAGATTTCAGTGTGGAAGTAGAATTTTATTCCCCTGGAAAACATTTCTGAAAGTAAGATTACTGACTCATGTGGTAAATATTTGTTTAGTTTTTAAAAAATTGTCAAATTGTTTTGCAGAGTGTTTGTACCATTATACATTTCCTGTAGCAATGTATGATATATCCATTTATTCCTTAGGCTCACCAGCATTTGGTGTTATCATTATTATTATTTTTTTCATTTTAGCTCTTTTAACAGATGAGTAGTAACACATCCTGACAAAGTACATCTTTTCATGTGCTTATTTGTAATTCTAATAGCCTCATTAGTAAATTGTCTCTTTATGTCTTTTGCCTATTTTCTCACTGGATATTTTTAACTAATTAATTTATATAATTCTTCATAAAGATAGGTGTTTTATCACATAGGTGGTTTGGAAGTTTGTGATTTGCCTTTTCATATTTTTAATGTTTAAGTTAAATTTATTTTATTTTGATTACTTCAGATTTTATGTATGTATTCTTTGGTCCATTGTGCTCTTGGTTTCATGTTTAAGAGCTTTTCTCTAAAGACTAGGTCCCAATGCTAATGTTTTATGAAAAAGACATTTATAAAAACAAACTTATTCACTGTTTTAGATAACGTCCTGTTATATCACAACAAACAAAAATTTAAAAAGCTATGTTACATGGGCAATTAATATTATAAAGAATAACAAATTTTGTGTGACTGTGTTGCTATTGTTGTTATTTTTATGTACATGTGGTTTAGGAGTTTGAGACTCCAGATCAAATTGTGATTTCTGAAACTCAAATTCAATTGTGCTTATAAAGTTTCATGTGTGCTATTATTTCAGAAAAAAATGGCAATATTCAAGACATATA